AGCGTTTGTAATTTTCCATTAATATTTCACTTTTCTACCAATTTACTATAAAAAATTCTCACTAATCGCATTTTATCATAAGCTCCATTTTGAAACGTTTCCCAATTAGCGAGGTTTTTGGCGGAATTCTGCGACTTCGTTAAACAGAGGTATGACTGTGCAGAGTTTGCACTTAATGTTCTGCCAGCTTTGGAGACTAGTTGTGGGAAAATTTATAGAAAAATACCTGTACGTTTCATGCTGTTTACGTTGTTCATTTTTTATAGCACGGTAAAAAGCAAAACCATTTACACATTTAACAATATTATCATATTTTTGAACTTAAATTCCAACTTTAATGGATTAACATTATTTTAATCCGCCTGTGTTACAGGCTTGGTCCTAAAACTCCCATAACATTTCTCAAAATGCAATGAATAAGTGATATTTGCTTGATTATAATTCCAAAATGGCACTCTTATTTGCACTTGACTCCTTGCTTTCAATATACACTGACTACCAATAAGTTTTTGGACACCTATGCAAATGACGATACCTGCGGTCCTAAGGTACGTCACGGACTCCGCCGGTATATATCGTGTAGGAAACAGCATCGGCTTTAGTCGCATGCAAGATGCCTCGCAGTTCGGAGCTCTCTGATTTCTAGAAAGGTATAATTATCGGGTATCACAAATGGGGCCGATCCTTAAGGGACATATCTAGAGATCTGAAGTACCTAAAATCGACAGTGGCCTATGTGATTAAGAGGTGGAAGGTGAAGGGCGATTGTGCCCCAAGTCGGCAGACCAACGAAACTGGGAGATAGAGACCGACGAGTGCTATCCAGAGAAATTCGGAAGAGCCGCAGCCAACCGATGGCCCTCATCCGCGATGAGTTTCAACAGGCATCCGGGAGTATTGTTTCAAAGAATACCACCCATAAGGAAGCACATCTGCTTGGTTTTCATGGTCGTGCTGCTGCCCATAAGCCTTTGATCACAAAGTCCAACCGCGCTGCTCGGTTAATGTGGTGCAAAGCACATCAAAATTGGACGGTGGAACATCAGTGGAAACGGGTTCTTTTGAGTGACTAATCAAGGTTCACCCTTTACCGTTCAGATGGCAGTGTCTGGGTCTGGCGTCTACCTGGAGAACGTCTCCTGCCAGAATGCATTGTGCCAACAGTCAAGTTCGGCGGAGGTGGAATTATGGTCTGGGGGTGTTTCTTCTGGTATGAGCTGGGTACCTTGGTCCCCATTCATGGTAAGCTCAACTCCGATGCCTGCTGCACTATTTTGGATGACAATGTGCTTCCTACGTTGTGGCAATTTTACGGATTGGACCCCTGTTACTTTCAGGACGACAATGCCAGTTGTCATGTTTCGTCGTTAACCAAGGCTTGGTATGGTGCAAATGGAGTTCATCGAATGGACTGGCCTGCCCAGAGTCCAGACCTGAACCCTATCGAGAACCTCTGGGACGAGTTGCGTCGCCGAATTCAGGGTTGCACTACCCGTGCAAAATCGGTGAAGGAACTTCTATGTCTTCTCTAAGCCGAGTGGAAGAAAATACCACTAGCTGTCATACAAAGACTTGTGGAAAGTATGCCCCGGAGGGTCCACGCTGTAATTACCTCTCGTGAAGGCTCTACCAGATATTGATTTTGAATAAAGTTAGTTTTTCTTTTCTATCACAGGTGTCCAAATACTTACTGGTAGTCAGTATACATTCAAACCGAAATCGAGTCAATCAGAAGTTGGCACAAAGTTTAGTGTGTAATGACCTGGAAAACCATCTTTCTATGCGAAAGCTTAGAACCATAACCCTAGAAGGGTTTTAAAGATAATTTCACATAAAATCCAAACATTCTACTGTTTTAAAATATTCTTTATTTGCGAAGTTATGAAAGAAAAAAGGGCTCATAGAAAGCAGAATTTTCAATAAAAAATTCAAAACTGTTTTTCAATGGAGTATAGCTATCTCTATTATCCGAATGATCCAAACTCTGTTTGTAAAAGAATGATTATTTGTTGCTTTAAGTTTTTCGACGTTGGGAAATTTTTGCAGTAGTTTTGAAGTTATTTTGTATTAATTTAAAATATCGTTTGCAAACATAGTAATCACAAGTTCTAAAATTATTGCACAAGATAAGAAGATTCTTTTGTTGTCAAATTTCTATTAAAACTGATTGTCATAATTTCTCGATTAATAGATGCATTAATAATTCCACCTTAATTAGAAATTTAAAATATTGGCGTAGAAAGATAAGACAAAAGCAAAAATACATTCCGAAATGCATTTCGCAATCTTTAAAAAGCATTTGTCTTTAAAAGATCATTTTGATAATTGTTAGAATCTCAGATAAGCTCTTCAATTTATGTTTCCAGATGGGCTATTAAGATCTTTTAAACCTTTGAAGAAATATTTCATTAGCAAAAAACAGATGATTAAACTAAAACAACAGGCACGTGATCGTGTAGAATGGAACTATGGGCCAACATCGTAAAAGTGACAACTATCATTGGCACTCCAAAACGAAGCCTCATTTGTATGACGCCATCGTAATTATTGAAGTATATCGACAGTAAAATTGCCATGTACAGTGCCGTTGACGGGATTCGAACTTCAAACCTTCCGATTGCTAGGCGGACGCGTTTTCCAATTACACCATAAAGGCACTCAGTAAGGATGATGAAAAACCTTCCAATATGTACCATTTTAGTTGCAAAACAGCTTTATATCTCAGCAGATGAAGTGGATCGAGTTCACATCTTAGAAGCAAAAATATTTTTTAAAAAAATGCTTCCTTCAGCTATTAACAAGTTTTAAAACAATGTTTACATTTTCAGCATAATAATTTGCCATGCTAACGAATGCGAACAACAGTAAGATGGTTTTCTTCAATAAATTCAAAAACAGCAATGGCCTCTTCAATCATCAGATCTCAGTCCTATCAAAAATATTGGTTGGTATAGAAACGAAAAATTCACAACAAAGTACGATAAACCAAAGCCATAATTTTACACTGGCATCATCCAAATCATCTTGATAAACTTGAGTAGTATGCCCAAGCTGTGTGCATTAGAAGTTAAAACAAGTTTTTCCAATTAAATATGGATAATCCAGATAACGTAGAGCATGTTTTAAGCTCATTAATTGATGTAAATTTTTGATATTTTGTAATTTTACCTTATTCATTCCTATTGAACTAAAACATTGTTTAAAGTTGACAGGAGTTATTAAAAAAACTTACATTCCTTTTTTTAAAATTTATATCATTTCCAATAATATTATTTTAAATCTTAAAAATATTTTTAATTTTCAATAATATTTTCACTAAATTGACACATTATTTATTAAACTTAACATTTGAATTAATTTTTGAAATACGGTTAGTTACACAAAAACACACTTTCGTAAAGTTCTTTAGAACTTTTGCACCAAGCTTTAGGAAATAATTTTTTTATAGAACTTCCTTTTATGTTTTTTTATGGAGTGAACAGAAACCTGTTCGCTATGTGAAAGATTATACACCGTATGTGTTCATAGATGGATATATTCCATAAACTTGAAATGTTGCTACAAAACTTGGAGCCAACAGTTTTAGATTAGGTATCATAGAATACTTCAAAAGTACTTCGAAAGTATAGTCATATTGCTTAAAAGTATTGGACAAATTGAGATATATTTTACCAAAGCAAGAATACAGCCAAAAATATTTATATTTGTTGACTCAGGCAGTAATACTTTATTTGTTGATGTCTCAATTAATATTATTTATTAATTACTATTACAAATGTTATTTGTTAATACCTATCATAAATGTTCAGTGACGTCATGGGGCACAATTGATTATAAACCAACATATATTTATTTTATGACTTGAAAACCTTTGGTATCTTCCTACAATCGGAATGCCATTCAGCCACACTTTATTACATTTGTAAAAAGTTTCTATTCATTCCATCATTTCTGTCATGCAAAAGCAGGGAATTTTCTATGAAGCTTTTAAAAATTTATATTTCCTATATTTTCAGCAAAGATAACGTTTATTAAATTAATAATAAAATCAATCATTGAATAATAAATTTCTTCGGTAAACTTTAGCTAATATCATGATTAGAACAAGACAGCGCGTGGCGTAAATATTTTTAAAAAGAAATTCTATCTAGATTTAAAAGCCTGTTAAAGTTTTAAGCATAGATTTCTGAGATTTGAATTGGTCATTGTTTCAAACTTCTGTTTAAATTCTTGTATTTAATAATATAAATAATGAAAGATTTGTATCTTTTATATTTATTTCTGTCATTATGTTATATTGGATAGATTTATAAAATTATTAAAATATCTTAAAATATTTTACATTTAATTAGGAAAATATTTCCAAAGTTTGTTTTATAGAATAATAAAATTTTGAAAAATCAAAAAATTCTGAAATAAAAGTCTGGCAATTAGATAAAACCAAGCTTAAGAATCTTTTGAATTAAAATTAAAACATGAGATAAAACAATAATTAGCTCTAAAATAAGATTTTGAGTTAGATATCTTATTAATAAAAAATACCATATTATTATTTATAAAATATTATACTAAAGTAAGATAATGAGTAAGAATATGTCATAAAAAGTGGTTTTCATTTTTTAAATTATCATATTGGATTGATCACGCTTTTGAAAACAAAAAAAAAAAAGATTTCGGAACATTTAAAATATTTCATAAAGTTTTATATCAATTCTTATTGTTTTCACGCAATCAATATCTACAGATAAAGAAAATTTTAGGTAAAAAATAAAATGCTAAAAAAATTTAAAAAGCACTGAGCCATAAAAATTTACAACTAAGTGTCTGTCCTTATATATTCAAAAAAATGTAACCTGAATTTATTTATGAAACAGCATTTCCCGTATACTTAATTTACACAGAAATAAAATTGCTTTTTTTGGCTAGAAAATCTTCGGTATTTTTTTAACAAAGGAATGCTGATTTATTAAACATCTAGTAAAAAATTACCCTTTACTTACGAGTTCAAAATTGTTTCTCCTCAGTTTCGGAAATGGTGGTTTTCGGAACGATAAAAAATGCTCTGAGTAATCCCTGAAATGCTTTAGAAATCCGCAATCTTTCTACAGTCCTTCAATACACTGATAAAAAAAACTAAACAATTGCTAGGTAATAATTCCGGTAGGATGCTGGGGTTTTCTGACTAGGAACTGATATTCCTCTACCAAGATTTAAGCAGGACGAAAATTTACGTGGCAAACATCCGGCGTATTCCATTGTTACGCAAGCCCGTTACTTTTTCCTATTCTCCGAATATTTTACATGAATCACGATGAATGAATAAAACTGCTACAAAGGGAGCATTCATAAATCTGTAGTTGTAAGACAGAAATTTATTTTTATGCTCTCATATTACATACATTTTCTCTCCCTTTCGTAGAAATTTTTATGTGTTATGAGAATTATTGTTACTACAGACATCAGAAACACTCCAACGGGTCTTGTTGTTTGGTCGCAGGCAGTGATTTGCGGCACTGCCAAACGCGATGAGGTGTAATCATATACAAAATTTACTTAGCAAAGAGAAAAACTAATATTGGATGTTTTTAAATAACGGAGGGGTTCTCAGACCATGTCCCATGAATGCTACATCTCGTTATTTTTGACGGTACAGGTTTGAATGTTCAAAATCAGTGTAAAATTGGCCTCTTATTAGCACTCATATTGGTATATGATAGCGCATATATGTTTGGTCCTTATTATGCGGTCAGAACGTAAAAGGTTTTAAAATATCTGATCTAGCCTATCTTGTCGATTTTATACTTTATTCCTGGTAGAGAATTATGCCTTCTGCTCCGCTGCATTGGAACAATTTAGAAATTCCAATTACTATTTAAACAAATGTGCGTGTTAATTGTAGCCTTCTTTCACATTTAACATTCAGCCAGTGAGTATTGCCCTTCAATGATGAGTCTGATTTAAAAAGTGTAACTTACGAATTATATAAATATGAAAAGATGGAAAGTAGTAGAGACGCGAATTTTTTAAATCATGCCTAAGCAATAACGCCCCATTTGAGCTAACAGTTACACCTAAATCTATAAAACAATTTTAGAATTAAAACGCAAAAAAAAAAAAAAATGAATTGCTGTTATGGATTTGTAAAACTCAGTAAATAATGCGTCGGTAAATCAGTGTCTTTTGTAAGCATATGAGAGTTTGACATGGGGACATTTACAATACTGGCAAGCCGAAAATCCTATCAGGGAGTTTGGTGGTAGTGAAAGAGGGGTGGTAGATCCCTCAAACCGTTCTCCTGAGATGTTATTCATCAAAATTCAGGTGAAGCGGCACTTATTGCCGTGGGACTACAGCTTCACAAGGGCAATGATGAAATTCTGGTTTCCTTCCAATTTCTACCTGTGCCTGTAGGTTCCATACATTTACTCAAAATATAAACAAACCTCTTTTGGGACACAAGCTCTAGCAAAGGAAATCAGGAGTGATAAATGGCTGTCTGAAATCAAGCGATACAATTTAAAAAGTATAATGGTGTCTTGCATAAGGAACTCGTGCCAGAATCAGAAAATGTCCCGCAATGACAAATTTCGAGCCGACTTAAGAACCAAAGCAAAGTGGAGTTAAATTTATTTTATTTTCTGTTTTAACGTTACTGAATAACAAAATAAAAAAAAAAAAAGAAAAGAAAAAAAAAGAAAGAAATCTGTGCAAAAGTAAAAGAGCAAACAGAAAAGAGAGAAATATAAACATATTTTTTAATATTCTGTTACTACTGATGAAGTGCTTAAACTCCAAATCAGAAATTTGAACTAATGGCAACATGGTGGGTTTACTTTTAAAGAATGGTTAATGTGCTGGGCTACTTGTTTGATCTGTGGTGGTGTCTGGTGTCCCATTCACTTCTATCTATCTACTGATGAAGTGTAATCCAAAGAACCTCTAAGGAGGTTCTTTGTGTAAACGCTCCTTGGCCATGGATATGACAAATATTATCAGCCTATTCAGATGAGGAGATGAAGAATACAGTGGTTCCATATCAATTGCATCTGTCAAAGATCTCCTGAAGAAAAAGAATTGTGGCAAGTATGGAAGCAATTAAACTGCTTTCACAGTTCTTAATTTTTTTTAATTAAAAGTCGAGAAAGCTGCAGGTCACGGTCAGGCAGTGATGTCTTAATAAATTGAGATGAAAAAAGTGGATGATCTCTTCAGCGGCAATGCCATCCACTACTTTAAGGCTCCTAGCTAATGAGACAAAACACTTTTTACACTTTCTTGAAACATGACCTGCAACCAAACAAGAGGCAGATGTGCAAGAAAATGGAGGACAATTGAATATTCAAACGCCACTTGAAGACCGAAAAGATTCACACTAAAAGGAACTGAAAACTATGGGACTGTGTATATATAATTTATGCAATATAAAAGTTTTGCGTATAATTGATTAATAAATTCTTAGCATTTCCTCCACCTGTGATGTTTCTGATAACCTTTTAAATGTGTTGACATCGTTTCGCGATTTTGCATCGGATTCGGAATCGAGTTCAGGTTATTTCCAGAGAAGCTTATAAAAAGTCCAGCATTGCAAAATGGGTTATGCTTGTGGCGTTTGTCAAGCAGCAGGATCGCTTTTGCAAATTTTGGTTTTTCCTCTTTGCTCATGTCATTATCTGTTTGCACAGATGGGAAGTGCGGCGTAAGAGTTCCCGATACCCTTGGCGGCAAAACGACCTTGGGATTCCATCTTGGATCTGTTACCGTACCGTTATCGCAAAAGAGCTTCGAAGCGATAGGTTTCAGATATTAGAACTATCATAGTGCAAGCGTTTTATTAGCCATAGGGACCACTATAGTTTTCTCACGCGCGACACCATTGTGACTTTTTTCATATAAAGCAACAGAATGACAATCCTGGGCTATTCAGTTAATAAGATCATCATGTGATTAATATGTGTACTAAACTTCGCCAGAGTAAGGAGTTTAGAAAAGAGACATTGCAGAAGAGGAACTATCGCTCCATTTAGATGCAGCTCCAAGCACAGGTGACATAGATACCCCTTTACGGCAAGTTTCGTAGGTTGCCAATTAAGTCATTCTCATAACCCACAAGTAAAGGTATTTTTTGCTTTGAATTATTAGCATGCTTACTTTATATGACTGACTGCTTATAATGCTGAAAATGAGGGAGCCAGGACTAGCGCTGTTGGTCTCAGATGCAAAGCTTAGAAAAAGAAATCTTCTTTACCTCTGTTTTTAACATTGCTGCAAGACAATACTTAGAACCATATTTTCCTCACGTATTTCCCCCCTTTTTTTTACTAATTTAGGGTCCGAAAATCGAGAAGGTAAAATTTACAATAATTTAATTTCTGAAGGAGGCGGTTACATTAAGAGCATAAAACAAATGAAACGTAGTCTTGGATAAACTACAGGTAACTATCGCAATGCTATTTCTTAAAAGAAATCCACATTCCAATGAGAATGCACTGAAATATTAACATTACAATACATAATAAGACATATCCCTTGCCTCTTTTGTTGCCGCTGCTAATCATTAGGCCTCAAATAATCCTTAAATAGTTAAAGAAAGTGAACTTGAATATGCAGCTGACTCCGTGAAATCGTAAACTAACTGTCAATGAATATTTATTTCGCTGTGATTGGTCTATTTTTGTATTAGGCTGGAATGAAGTTCATCAGTTAGAAAGGAAAGGTTTCGCATGACCTTCGCTCGCAGTTTGAGAGTAGAGCGAGGGTTTTTCCTATTAGTGAAATAAAAATAATCACTATGTAAGCGAATCCATTTTGAAATTTTGAAAGCTCTCTCATTGAATGCTCTATTCCTAAATGTAGCTTTAGTTTAATCGTACTAACCTTGTAACAAAACTGAATTTTCATTTGAATTAAGTATAAAATTCAGAAATTTAAAAATTAATGAAACAATTAATTCATTAAAGTTAGCAGAATTACTAAGTTCTTTTTCTCTGTGTTGAGGTAATTTAAATTTTTTTCGTTAGTAGAGAGAACGAAATGAAATGCAGCTCAGTTTCAGCGTCCTAAATCGGAAGACTTATAATTAATTAGTGAAGTAATAACCAAGAGTGGAAGTTGTTAATTTTCTTCAAAGACAGCGAACGCGATAAACTAATTATACAACGGTCGAAATTCGAACCGCGGGAGATTTTCTATTTGCCCACTGATTGTGCTAACCACTTACATCAAGATAAAACGCACAATAAAATGAGATTCCTGAGCTTATCCCATGCTTAAATGGGACTGAGAGAGACACAAAATCCAGTCAACCAATCTCAAGTTGTAATGAGTTATATTTCACTAGTGTTTCGTCATGAGTTATATTTCACTAGTGTTAGTGAGCAGCAAAATCAACCGTGGATTAAGCTGAAGTAAATTTTTCGATGCCATTAAAAACACCAGAGGATATTTAGAGAAAGTTCACAGTAATGATTAATAACTTCTTAGTAGTAAGGTATGTTCAGTAGAGTTATTGAAAATCACTTTTCAATTCATGGGGAGGGGCGTTGAAGTTTATAACGTGTCCTTTATTTAGCCTTTTCTGTCATAGGAACTTATCCCAGTAGTTTTCATTTTGTGTTGTAAGTATTTTATCAAACTTTTCCCAGTTTGAGCAAAGAAATTACGATTTAAAAGGATAGTGCGATTTCCAAACAATTTTCCATTAAATTTACAGAGTTCGGTCGCATACGCGAGGAAACAAATTTATCTTCGGAAATACCTTGACGCACTACGAAGTATGACATCACTTATATTCTCTGCACGACAACGCATCCGTTATTACGTATAATCCTTGAGATTGGAGACATATGCAATAAACTATCAGAATAAAAACAAAAATGAAAGAGTGAAGCCATATTGTCTTAAAGGCAAATGAATAAGTGTACAAAAATGTCGTGCCAAAGCAGTTTCCCTGCGAAAATATTTACTATTTCAGAAAGATGAGAAACACAGCGTTTTTATAGCAAACTACTTAATAAAAAGAAGCTATTCGGAAAACTTGTCTGCAAACTTTATTGCTTTAAATATCTTTCTTAAACTGGGAATTGTAAATTGTAAATTTACTGATTTTTTTTTTTTTCAGTTACCGGTAGTTCGGTAAAACAGAGAATTAAAACTCGTTTACCGGCAGTTTAAAAGCCTATTCTCAATATATTATTAAAACTA